TGGTTTTGTTTGTCCATGTATGTTTTGTGTTTGTTGTAAAAATAAAAAAATATTAAAAAAATAAATAAATAATCCATCTCAGAATGCAGTCATATTTACCATCCCCAGACTGAAACTATACTGAGGAAGGTGATTTAAGAATAAATCAAATTAATTAAAAGCAAGTAACACAAATACTATACCTAATCTAGTGTTGTATTTGAGAGGATGCTCGCAAGAGGCACAGATGGTATTTCAAGTACATTGAAATTTGCTTAGTTTAATAAAGAGAAGTAACATAAAATGTAAAACAACAGAAATGATCTTACTAACCCTATGTATAATTCCAGCTGAGTGAAGATGCTTAATACCACACAACATCTGATACAGCAGGTAGGACATTCGTTCATGGTCAAGCTCCATCTGAATGACCTGACAGAGATTTGCATCCATGAGCTCCATCACTATGTAACTTTTGAGGGGAGGTAAAACATACAATGAAATCATAGCAGAACATTTGATCATACAATCAATTGTGCATTATTATAGTAAATGCAGGTTTCCCAAAATTCATACTTACACATCTTGGAATTCTTCCAGGGATTTCTGTGGAGTGAACACATTTAACAGACCAATGATCTATGGAGAAGGAAAAAAAGTAATAAGCATATTTGATTACCTTATGCAAAAAGAAAAAAAAGCTGCAAAATAGGAAAATCTGAACAAATGGAGTACTAAAATGTCTCCATTTTTTGCTAATTTAAACCTGGGTTAAAATACCAATCAATTTTATCTTTATAGTTGAAAAATGCTCAGGTTTAGAATCTGATGGTCTACAATAGGAAAAGATAACATCATTCTAGAGTATAGTTAATGCAAAATTAAACTGAATAAACAAACAATAAAACAAGAAACAACTCAGATAACAGGTATACTGTTGTGAGAAAACATCTCAGATATGCAAAGATAAAAAGAAAAACTGGATTATGCAGGCAAAGCTGAGACCACCCTCTCTTCCTTAATTTCTAAATTTCTAAAACATAAAGAGCCAAGTAAAAATTGTTCAACTGACTTCCAATTTAAGTTAATCAGGTGTAAATGTATACAGCTATATAATATCCACCCAGAAAAGTTAGACAAGAGAGGCATGATCTTTGAAAAGCATTTCTGGGTTTTTTCCCCATCTAAAATAAAATGGTTATCCACTGTAGGTTTCTAGTTAATTATTTTGCTTTTCTAGTAAATCAGGAAGTTCAGGGCTGAGACATCTCCTACTATATTCACTCTGACTATACTAGGTATGTGAAGTCAAAGGGAAATTTTCAAAACTAATCTTTTCTCAGCTGGTGAATAATGAGTACATAGTTACAGGGCTGGATTTGGATCAAGGAGACTCAGGTTCATGTCCCTCCTTCACAGGGTGACTTTGGTTTAGACCAACCTGCAAAGGATTGCATGGGAATAAAATGAGAGGAGACCCTGATGGAACTACCTTAGCCTTCTGGAAAAAAAGGTAGGACAGACTTGCAATAAACCAATTTAAATTACAAATCTACTACTTCCCTGAAACAGTTATACCTTGTAGTTTAGTCTTCTTAATTTAAATCAATGGGACAGTAAAGGGATTGCATTCTAAAGGGCAAGTTTGATATTGTCTTTAAGTCTGCACAAATATACTTACATTTTTGTGGTTTACACACTTCATGAGGACCAGTTCTCGGTACGCTCTTTTAGCATGCGTTTGATTCTGAAATGGTCGACTGAGTTTCTTGATTGCAACATTTCTTTCAAGGAGAGCATCATAAGCTGCGCTGTAAATAAAAGAAAACTGCTGTAGCCAACAAGTATGCAACAATACACCATTAGAAATAGATTCAAAAGCTACATATCCAAATTATATTAACAATACATAACGTTCAGTTTAGGTGAGATGGGAGAATGGAACAAAGGGATACGTAACACAGGCGGCCTGAGGCATGAACTTTATGTATGGACAGAAGCAGAAATCTGGGAAATGGGAAGGAAGGGCAAAGGAAGGAGCCAAATCAGGCAAACTAAATTCTACACTTACTGTAGTATGAACTATAATTAACATTTTGTTCTTCCACAAAGAAGACAGGGACAGGGTCTCTTCTCTGGGATTAAAGGAACATGCTTCTGATTTTTCCAGAGAATGGGGCCTGCCTCTTCTTTAACTCTCAACTGCCTCAATCCAACACAGCATGCTGCCGCCTACCCCTCTCCCCACCAAAAAGAAACACTTAAAAAATGTAAGAGAATGTAACCTGTAACCACCATCTGGAATTAAAAGCAATTTTTATGTGAAAAATAACATGGAATGGAAGGCCACATAACAAGAATCTACTCTCTTTTTCTGAGTTCATAGAGGCCTATGAACAGCCACCCCTGAAAAACAGTTCAGAACTTGATAGTGCTATTTCTGCCATCTTTCCCTCAACCAAAGGACTGAGAATTTAAATTATAAATTTATGAGAGCCCACATCATTTATATAAATGATGCAGACTCTGCATCATTTTGATTCTTTGCCCCCTCTTTGAACTTCTGCCGAAGAGAACAGTGACATAGGCCTCCTCCAGTATGAACTTCAAGTTGTCAATTGACATAAACCTGGATTGCTATGCTTGTCTTGGTGTCTGAGAAGTACAGGACAAGAACAGAATCTGGCCTGGCTAGATGCCTCCCAAAGGGCAAATAATTGCACTGATAACTACAGGTAGTCCTTGGTTAACTACAGTAATTGCATGGTCATAAAGTGTGATGTCACATAACCATGCTGACTTATGATGGCAGTTCCAGTTGCGGTCCTTAGGTGAATCCCACATGGTCATTAGGCACAATGTCATGTGATCACCACCTGTGACTTCCTACCGCTTCCCCACTGACTTTGCTTCTTGGAGGCCAGCAGTGAAGGTCACAAATGGTGATCACGTGACCACAGGATGCTGCAATTATCATAATTGTGAGCTGGTTGCCAAACACCGAAATCACGATCATAAAGAAATGGAACTGATCCAGAACTGAAGGAATGCATCTGCAATTCCTCGCCTTGAAAAGGGAGAATAAGTAAGCCTTTAGAAAGATTTATCTCCCTGCTTAGAGGGAAATTCATACTTGTGGAGGTAACAATTTACCCATTTGAGATCCAGGGTGCTAAAAATGACCAAGTACATTCTATAGCCTTGGATGGAAAAACCTTGAATGACCTCCATTTGCAGAAGGGGCAGGACAATCCTCCTCTAGAAATTTTACAAAATTCCCAGACATGGGGATTTTGTAGATTTCCTGTTTCACTATCTCCAAGATTAAGTGATGGAAGGTAGAACCTTACCAAATTTATGCACATCTCAAAAACTGACACACATAACATATACATACAAGTATGTACATATACATTGCCAACTGGAACTTCAATCTGGATATTATCATATTCTGCTAACCACTACTGCTGGTTGGTTAAGTGTTATTATTGCTGACATCTAGGATTGAGATATAGGGATAGAAAGAAATTAAGGCTACTTAAAAATCTTCTCATCTTGTTAGAAGCATGGTGTTCTTTTATCTTCCTTAGTCTTTACAAACTATGCAATAGATCCACAAATATATGCCTTCAAGAGGACACATTATGAGCCAGATTTTTCTTTGATTTTTACCATGTGAATCAATTTTTTAAAATAATTTTTATTAACGTTTACAAATGCAAATATAAAAGACTAATACAAACTAAGAATATAAGAAGAAAAGAAAAAAAGAAAAAAAAGTAAAAGGTGCAGAGGAAAAAAGAAAAAGAATATCTATGAATATATATAAAAGACTCTCCCCTCCCTTCCAACAAGCATAAGCAACTTCTGTTACTTAACATCTTCTCTAATATTTCAATTAAAAAAAACTCTTCTTCCCATATCTCAATCAATAAACAAATGGTAAAGAGTCGTCATTTAGTCCTAATCAGCAAAAGTCCATTAAAAGCTACCAGAAATAATAACATATATTTTCACCTAAATTCATTTTGTATTCCAATTTTCTCTAAAAAATAAAGCAACAGAAATCTCTCCCCATATCTTATCTGTTATCTATAAAGAAATCTTTAAAGCTTGGTAATTCAGTCCTGGTCAAAAAAAAAAGTTCCATTAACAGCTACCAGAAACCACAATATATATATTTCAACCCTGATCAAATAAATCCACTTTATATTCCTTCCATTTACTTTTTAAAAGCTTGATCTTTAATCCCTTCAAATAATGTCCCACAAGTTGATTTCTTATCATTTTCTTTGTTTCCTCTCAGAAACTTCTTCACTAGTTTAACACATCTCTTTTATAAATCCAAGGTAAGAAAGTTTTCCAAGTCACTCTTCTGATTATTTGTATGTCCCCTTTAATTATTAAGACATCAGCCGGTTTCATTTGTAAATCCAATGTGGCATCTTTTTCCATATCTCTTTTGTAGTCTGGAATTTTAAAATCCATTTTCAGATTCACCTGCAGATCAGCCTCATTCTCTATTTTGTCCAATAAAATCTGTTCCTCTTCTACAGTCTCTGTTAAATCCATTCTTATAGTTGCAGACAATCTTAAAGAGTAATTTCTGCTCCTTGATTTCCTCTATAGTCAAATAGTATTGCTCCATTGTATTAATGGGTCTCTTCTCCTTAATTGTAATCTTTAGTTCTCTCTGGTTGCCTCTTACCATATCT